TTGTCAGCCTCAGCAGCCAGCAGCTGTCTGAGTGAAGAAAAGCCTCCAGCTCCAGTGGGCTGGGAGCAGGAGGCAGAGCTGAAGCCCAAGGTTGAGGGGCTTTCACCCAGCCCTTGGAGCCTGGCACTTTGAACTCAGACATAAAACCTCCAAACTGTAAGAGAATACACTCCTATTTGTTCAACCATCCTGTTTGTGGTGTATTCTTGTCAGCAGCACTAGGGAACCAGAACACCATCCATCCTTCATCCAACCATTATCATCCATTCATCTATCCATCCACCCATCCATCCTCTATCCATCATCTCTCATTCCATCCATCCTTCATCCATCCACCCATCATCCATCTACCTACCACCTTTCATCTATCCACCCATCCTCTATCCATCCTTCACCCAATCATTATCATCCACCCATCCATCCATCCTTCACCCAACCATTATCATCCACCCATCCATCCATCCTTCACCCAACCATTATCATCCACCCATCCATCCATCCTTCACCCAACCATTATCATCCATCCATCCATCCTTCACCCAACCATTATCATCCACCCATCCATCCATCCTTCACCCATTATCATCCACCCAACCATTATCATCCACCATCCATCCTCTGTCCACCCATTCTTCATCCATCCACCCTTCATCCATCCATCTATTACCTACCCATCATCTGTCCATCGTCTGTGCATCCATCTCTCCACCTGTCCTCTATCTGACCCCTTAACAATACCTTCCTAAATCCATCATCCATCCATCCCTTCATCAATCATATCTCCCCCCTCCATCTACCATCTGTCTCTCCTTCCATTATCTATCCACCTACCATCCCTCCATTTATTATCTATCCATCCCCTCAACAAGGGCACATGATGCACCTTGGGAGGAGATCTCCAGTCTGAAAAGCACTAGGGATTATGTCCTGTCGAAAAGGCCCCGCCTATGGCCCGGTTTATTTTAACAGCAGGGATATTTATAACCAGATGCCGACATTAACACCACTGTTCGAGTAGCCCACAAATCCCAAGACGCCCCTTCCCCAGGCTGTGACATGGAGTGAATAACTGTGGGGAAAGCAGAGTTATCTCCTAATGTTAGCTCAAGGTGGGTCTGCTTTGGACCCGGCCGTGCCTGAGCAAAGAGATTACAGGAAAAGTAATTTCCCGTTCAGGCATCAACAGTGACGCACTTATTGCCATGGTAGAGATCGGGTGTGCACGGTGGCAACGCTCAAACCTTCCTGCACATGCAGCTCCCTTTTTCCCGGCACCGGCTGAACGCACGTCTTCTTGAGAGGAGGAGCCATTGAAGACTGTTTGTTTTCAAATGCCACATGACTTCCTGGCCCATGTCTGGAAGCAAGACTCATCACAGTGAGAACTAACACGAAAAAGAAGCATACACACTCTG